AGCAAGTGCAAACATAGTTGACAGGTTGATCCACGTTAGTATCTCTAATACTTCTGCAATCAGTAAATCTAAGACTGGTCTAAAGAGTGGTTTGATGACAAGTAATAAATCGAAATAGATCATCATCCCCTTCTTGACTCAATAAAAACTTTTTGAAAATATTTTAAATAAGACTCATAAAGTAGATAAACGTTAGTAATCCCCCCCCAGACTTAAATTACACTGTCCCCAGTGTAACACAGTCGGTGGTAAGATGAAAATCAAAAAGTAGAAGTACGAAATTTAACAAGTAAGAACGATATACCTGACCGAATTAAGTATCGATCGATGAAAAAGAGTTACCATCGATTGATGTAAGTGATGTACTGTCGATCGATATCGACTGTTTCTCGTCGGTCGATTATCATGAGAATCGTCTACTCGGGTCTGCTTTTCTAAATATCTAACTAAACACACAATATTAGTAGAACCTCCCCCAGACTTAAATAACACTTTGACCAATGTTATACAGCCTAATATTGGTGGGACAATAAACCATAAGGAAAATATTTAACAAAGAAAGACTGTATACCTGCTTTGATGTGAGTATTGATCAACACAGTTAAGTGGCGATCGATATTCTTGATGCTCTATCGATCAATGCTAGCTAGTCATCGTCGATTCTTATGCAAACACATATTTCTTGAATCTTTTTCCTAATACCTGTCATAAATAAAACACTAACACTCTAAAAGTTAGTAATAGATAACTAAGAAAATCGATTAAATTTTTTTTTTAATGAACAGTGATCCTGCTACAGTAGCGGTGCTACAGTAACTCCGCTACAGTGATCGCAGCTACAGTAACTCCGCTACAGTGATTCCAGAGTTTCTGCTACAGTGTCGGTCGATATTGCTGCTACAGTGTCGCTCGATGTTCGGGCTACAGTGCGTTGCTACAGTACTGTCGTTACTGTTCATTCATGTTTTTTTTTTACCTGAAATTATTTGAAAAAAAAAATATCAGTCATAAATGAAAAAAAAATTATATTTAAAATTATCTAACAGTGGGTTGCCTCCCACTCAGCGCTTATTTTTAGTCATTAGCTTGACTTTGGAGATCTGATTCAGTCCGGATGAGAATGAGAACTTGCTCCATTTTAAGTCTCAATATCTACTATTTGAAGCTTTATCATTCTTGTTTGAAAGCCTCCTCCATAGACTTTTCTCCTTTGTCTATCATCTCAGCAATAAGGAGTGCTTTAAGCTTTGCATATAAATGTGGGAAAGCATCTGCTGCGCACTCTTGATTTTCTGATACTATCTAAAAGGTAAGGAGTCAATGGTAACTGAGAAGCTCCTTTGGTTCGTTTCCGCTTCTTCTAATTTCTCCCCTTCTTTCCCAGAGACTTGTGTAATCTCACTTTGGATTTCCTGACATCATCTGAGAAGTGAAAAATCAATGATAACTGAGAACCTCCATTGATTCTTTTTCTCTTCTTCCAATTCATCCTCTTCTTTCCCCCAGACTTGTCTGAATGCGTGGTGGTATCTCCATCAAAAACATTTCCACACACTTCATACTCATTCTGCTCTGATTCACGTCTGGTGTCGATCGATGTACCAATGGTAGTGTCGATCGATTGTGAATCGATCATGTCGATCGATGGTGTCTGGTCAGTGTCGATCGATGCTTCTTTTGCTAGGGGTTTATTGACTTCATCTCTAAATCTCAACCCTCTCCGTGAAACTTTTACGTGCTGATGATCATCTAATACTCCACTATAGGAACTTAACTCCATACTTTTATCTGGTGGGATAGGAGATTCAGCTTCAAACACCGCATTTGGAACCATAATCTTAACATTATCATGTATCCTTTTCACTCTTTTCTGAAACCCATCAGCTTCTTCTGTCCAAATAGGTGGTCTCTAATGTTTAGGGACAGTAATGTGTGAGGCTTCAGAATTATGTACTATCTCCTCAACTTGTTCCAGTTTGACTATGTATCCTTGTAGTTCATCCAAACATGGGTGTCGATCGATACAAACGGGTGGGTATCGAACGATGCAGTCGGGTGAATGTAGATCGATGTTAGATGGTGACTGTCGATCGATGTCGTAGGGTGGGTGTCGATCGATCACATCAGGTTTATGCCGATCGATGTCGTCAGCCTTTGATGAAGTCTCTCCATCTTTCCTCTTAGCATTCTATTTGTCATCAAGATTCTTCTCCAAATTCTGATCTATATCCTCAAGCCATTCCTTCAGCTCCAAGAAGTCTTCGATGATAACTTCTTTACTTGAATCCAAATCTCCAAGATCCTCTCCATTCTCTATGTTTACATCCAGGGAAGGAGAAGAACTTGATACATCAGTGCTCTTCTGTGTCAAGTTTGCAGTGTCCTGAGGACAATTTGAACTTTCAAGGATTTCAAGTGGTATCGATCGATGACAAAAATCTTTATCGATCGATTCTGAGATGCTGGTGTCGATCGATGAGGTGGTGGTGATGATCGATGCTGCAGTCGTACTGTCGATCGATGCTAAGGAACTTGTGTCGATTGATGTGAAGGTCGGATCTTTAATATCAGCTTCTTCTACTCTGCTCAGTTCTCCAGAATTATCGTGTTCATCCTCCTTAAACAAACTATGGTTGACCAGATATTTTCTGTTCAGTTCACCCCTCTGCGTACCCTCATCTGCAAGTTGAACCTGAATGTCTAACTTGTTGATGTGGGTGCTAATGGTTTCAGATTCTTTCTTTGGTTCAATGTAGACAATCATCCTCTCATGACCGGATCGAGATCTAAAATCCTCCTCACTGGCTTTAGTCATCTCGTCAAGCTTCTTTTGTCGCTCTGCTGCACCTTGATAGAGAGATCTGTTGAGGAAGACAATTTTGATGTCCTCCCAGCTGGTTAAAGATCTTGGCTGCAGCTGACTGAACCAGCTAAACGCATCTCCGGATAGTGAATAGGGGAAGATCTTTAAGAGAATGTGGTCAACAGATATTAATTTATGTTTGGTTGCTGAGACTACCTCCTCAAGTATCATGATATGATCTCTGGGTTCCTCATAAGGAAGACCTTGGAAAGGGTCCTCGCTTACCCAATCATACCACTGGCTACTTAGATCAAAGGTCTCCATTTCTGGAAAAGAAATCACATCATGAATTATTGATTCTTCTCCATTAATCAATTGTCCTTTAATGTTGCAAGTACGACCTCCTTCGTCTCGCCAGATACCCTTCTTATCGACCTTAAGTATAAGCTCGTCAACCTTTTCTGCCTCCACACAAGTGGTGTCGGTCGTCGGATGAACAATACCATGATGAACAGTGTCTCGGTGATCAGAGTCGACCGATGATGAAATCATGGTATCGATCGATGACGGGTGAACGATATCGTTCAATAGAAAGATCGTGGCATCGGTCGATGTAAAAGTTATGGTGTCAACCGATGTAGACGTCACATCACCAGTATTGTTTCCTTGTTCATCATCCTCCACCACATATCTTGTTGTTGACTCCATTTTTAGATTTTTTGGAGTGTCATAGAGAAATTTGTTGAAGAAGGCTTCCGCGATATCAATCCATATTGAGGGACTCTGGTGGCAACTCTTTGAACCAGCGTCTTGCTTCTCCAGCAAGAGTGGAAGGAAAGAGTTTGCAGAAGTGGTAGTCTTCAGTGGCTTCATCAAAGATAGACCAGATTAGGTCTTCAAACATATCAGTATGAACTATTGGTTGCTCGTCATGATAACCATGAAAGAGACGCTGACTTATAATAGGGATGTACTCAAGTTTCAGTTTGGAGTCAAAATTTTCTTCCTTTCCGCAAATAGTGTCGGTCGATCTTGGAAGAACAGTATCGGTCAACACAGGATTAGCAGTGTCAATCGATTTCAGGATAATAGTATCAGTCAACACGGGATGTACCATGTTGATCGATTTCGGGTGGGCAGTATCGGTCGACGCGGTGTGAGCCGTGTCGATCGATTTCGGGTGGGCAGTATCGGTCGACGCGGTGTGAGCCGTGTCGATCGATTTCAGGTGGGCAGTATCAGTCGACACGGTGTGAGCGGTGTCGAACGATTTCAGGGGAAATGGGGTTTTGTAATTTTGCAAAGGTAATTTTATTTCTTCACCTTGATTCAAGGTGGAATGGATTGTAACAGAGATTTTGGTCCCATGTTTATTTCTATTTTGGCTAATTGCATTGTTTATTTTACCTATTTGTTCAATATATAGTTGGGGCTAATCCCACATGATCTATTTGAACCCTAAACCTAACATGATGAATAGATATAAAACTGAAATAGAATAGATATAAAAACCAATGGAGTTCCAGGAGAACTCTGATAGGAGTTCCTCCCTTCTCTCCTAACTAAGAGAAACAATAGATGAAAATAAAACTTGTGTGTAAAGCGTAGCCGTCAACAATGGCTTGCAAATAACATAAATAAGGTTTCTGGTCGTCAAGGGTATTTTGGTAACTTGTGGGCTTCATTCGGTTATGAAATATAGTCAGCCCACGTTCTGGCATTCATATCGGCCGATATGAAGGCTTTCCCGTCGATCGATATACATTCTTCTTCTCGACAGCCTTCTCTCGCGAAGCAGACTGAATACTCTTCAGTAAAACGAGCATAACTTTGGATCTAACCGTTGGATTGACCCCAAACCGGTGGCATTAGAAAGATAACTCAAAGATCTATCTTGTGTCCATATATCAGCTAAATCGCACCATGGTAAAGTCTCCATCCATATCTAAATATCTGACGCGTCTGCGCAGTTCTGCACTTAAAGGCTCCAAAAGACACCAAAATCACCATATTTCTCCAGAACGTACCTGAACCTGTAAATTCTCTAAACAGAATCTATATTGTAGTAAATTATCTAAATAGAATCTATATTGTAGTAAATATATGTGAAAACACCTATAAACCATGGCTAAAAATGGGTAATCCATGGTCGATCAGTGTTGCAGTCTTGCACACTCAGAGATATCTTCTGTCTTCTATGAGAAGGGGCCTCCTTCTCGCTTGGGTAATGCACATCCTCTTACTCTCTCTCTCTCTCTTTAATCTAATTAATATTAGCAAATCAACTAATCGAATTTGATTTTGGCATTAAAATAAACAGATACAACAATGTGTTGCTCCTGATCGTTTGGATCATTGTTTTCATATTTGCTACGGTGGGATTGCTGCTGGTGATAGAGACACTGAACACGTCCCTTCACACACTGTGTCTCCACCGGGTGGAGTTTCAGAACAAATTTCTACAAGGGAGATGGTTCCAAGTTCACTTCTTTTTCTTTCATTCTCACCAGTAATAAAGACGAGTGATAGGGATGGATGATTGTTACATTCCCCTCCCATTCTCTGCAAAATTTGCATATACTAAAAAGGTACAAGACATACCAAGTTTTATTTAATTTTTTCGAATTAAATTTTGTTTGCCTGTCTAGAGTTTAGATTTTTTGAACAAAAGTGGGGAAGGGGATAATGGAATTTGTATGAGGCCAAACTCATTTGTTGTTGTGTTAGTTTGGAATTAAATACGTGAGGATTTGTTAGCATTTACTATACAGTCCATCTACTGAAAATTGTTTGTCAATAAAGAATCAATTACTCGACAAATCACTTTTCCTTGTCGAGACAACACAACTTCCAGAAAAACCGTTTGGTAGGATTTGGTGGCGTTGTCTGCAGAGGCAATCCTTTTGCTAGGGTCAATCTCTTAACAAATTACGGTACTTTAACTAAGTTCCCTCTTGCAAAAAAATAGAAATAAACTAACGAATTTGTTTCAGAATTGACAATTTTTTATATCAAGATACATGTGGGAATTAATTTTGCAGGTTTCGTTTTTTCCCATCTGTTATAGGAGTTGAAGAATAGTTTAACAGACTTAAGTGTGCCAGTCTTTACTTATGAGATATTATGTATGTTGCCAGCCAAATGATATGTGTTTTGGTTCTATATACGTGATTGAATATTGTTCCTTTTTTTATCATGTGGTAAGTGGCAACATTTGCTTATAGTTAGCTTGAAGTTTAGTTTCTAATGTCACTCTGATCACAAGAATAATATATAACATTTTATCACTTGCATATTTGTATTTTTTTTTCAAGAACAGCTACACCTTTAGTGGCAGTACCCGCAGCTATTTTTGTAGTACACCAAACTCCTTTCACCATCACCTTCGACTTCTCTACAACCTCCTAAACCTTACTCTTCACTGTCTCCAGAACACCTCCTGCTCTCTCCTTCATTCTTTCTTTCGTATCCAAACTATAGCTTTACACTACAACAAGAAGTTACAGTCAACATCCCCACGCTTGCGCGGAACTATGCCCCTAGTCATATAAATTAGGGAGATATCGTATTCATTAATTGATGAAAATCTGTTGCACCCAATCACAAATACTATTACTAGATTCGTTTTAAATAGTGCCACAATGTGATTGGTCGTTTTAATAGTGCCGTAATGTGATTGGGCCATAAAAATTCTCGATTTTGAATCGATGGAAATATACTGACCAATTTTAATTAAAACTAGTGGTGTGCTGGCGCTACGCGCCAGATTTATATATGTTATTATGAAAGAAGTTGCGATTTATTTTGTGGCCTTAGTGAAGAGATTATGTTCAGAATTGATGTTGTAACTATGTTGATAACAATGATCTTTTCTGATTATTCGTAGAGTAGCATAAGTGGTTGTTTTTAATCAAAACAAATAAAAGTAGAGTTAAATTTTGATAGACATTACAAAGTTAATTTAGTATATACTTAAACATAAAGTAAGGTTCATGTTTGTGAATGAAAAATGTAAATAGTTGTGTTTGTTTTATGATTATGTTGTTTCAAATAAGATAATATATAGTTTCGTCCTCTTAAAATAGTAATAATCCTAGTATACCTTGTATATGTTAAAGATGTTAGGAATTGAGTAAAAACATTTATATATTTTGGTTTATAATTAATACAGAAAATAGAAAACAATATGTAGATGAAAGTGAAAATTAGATCATAAGAAACCCCTTAAAATTATAATTAAGCTAAATCATAGATGACTGTTCCTACATATGAGATAACTTATTTTTGTACAAAGCCAATGATAAATGCAGTGGAAATGGAAAGTACAGCCGCAAGTAAGAAAACGTAGATATGTTTCATTGTTGTAATTTCTGAAGCACATTATGCATGTATTGTTTTCTTCTTACGTAATTGGAGGCCTATTAGTTCTCTCAAGATCGGTGATGATCAGATCGACGTCAAGCCTTGCAGTTGCGTTTTGGTTATTGTGATGATAAGGGTGACTTAAAAGATCATCAGTTATGTTATTTTCTTCGGCTGTTAGTAAATTCATCACGTATTGGGCTGTATCTTTAATTTTTTTTTTATAACTTTTCTATATATTGTCACTTGTATTAAAGTTATATTTTACCTTTATATAATTTTTTTATTTGTATTTTTTCATTAACCGTAGTTGCATTAACTGTGATAATAAAATATAGTTTTATTTATATTGTGTTGCTCAGTTCGACCATAATTATTTAATAATGATTATTTAAATTTTTTACTATCTAACAATTGGTATTATAGGCTGCAAACGTAAGGTTCACCTACTATGGTGCTGGCTTGGTGACAGTTTTTGAAATAACCAAATTTAAGAATCTTAAATATGTGACGTAGCCTATTAATTTTTTTCTTCACGTTGTTGTTGTGTGGTGGTGAAGCTTGAAGATATATTGAGTACTATTGAAAATCAATCATATGTTTTTGGTGTGGCCGGTGTAGTTATATTTTATGGAGGAAGTGTATGTTAATGGTGGCCTTTGCATTAAATATCTTTTGGGCAGTTTCGGGCTACTGAACTTGATCAATGAGAGTTGAAATTATTTTACATGAATATTTTTGAATAACTGTTGATTTTATAGCTAACTAAAGCTTATTTTCGCGCTACGCGCGGATTATATACTTAAAGTTTTTAAAATTTATTAATTTATATTATTATGATTATATATTTTGAATTTGTTAATTAATGTCATTCTATGTAAATTTTAGGCCAGTTTGAATATTGGTTAAAATGATTTTAAAAAGATTTAATACAATAAGATTGAATGTTTTTTTTCTAATGTGGAAGTGGAATAGTTTAGAGATCTCTTAATCAACATTTTGTATATATCACATATTATTGTGATAGATTATATTTAATTTAATTTGAGTATTTGGTCTTTACCAACTATTTACCATATATATTATTGGCTAAATTGTGGTTAATGTTGTTGTTGAGGAATAAAAGGTTTTGTTATCGAATTAGATTTCACAAAGCAAAATTTAAAAACTTCACCCATGAATTTATGAGCTTTTATAAATACATATATCAGAAACTATAGAATCCAATTTTAAGATAAACCAATTCATAAGAAAAGCAAACTTTAACCATACCTATAAATGATTAACATATCATCCAAAAACGATCATAAATGTATGTAAGAAAGCATAACACAAATGACTACTATTTTGCCTATGATAATTATGTGTGTATTGGTACATATAGTTCTAAAAAAAATTGATGATCCAAAATGAAAGAAATTTATGTTCTTAACATCTCTATAATATTATTTGAGAAGTCAGTTTCCTACGTGTCGCGTTCAGATTAACTCTCACGATGGTTGATTATATAAATATCCTTAATGAATTGTTAGATTTTAAGTTTATTATTAATTTTTTATTTAGTTTCTTTTTTTGCTTATTCCAAATAACATATATAATAAAAAGGAAATATTTCTAAATTTTTAAAACAGATTTAAAAACAAAAATATATGTATATAATATAACTTTATTAAAAAGGAAAGTTCACAAAATAGTAATATACCCCATTAATATATATTTTTAAATAACATATAATATATTTTCAAAATAATAAAAATATATATGTTCATGAACATCCAAAATTTATCAGTTACACTTTATTTTCTAATATTTTTTAGAAATCAACATATAATTTGATAAATATTATGAAAATATTTGTATATTTAAGCGATAAATAAAACTAGTTTGATTTGACTTAACTAAAATAACTAATAAATAAATATTATGAAAATACATGTATATTTAAGCGATAAATATAACTAATTTGATTGGACTTATCTAAAATAAAAAGTAATTATACTTCAATTTTAACTCAATATACTCACAACATGAATGACTCGACTAATCTAATTTAGATCCAAAATTAAACATCTAACTACAATAAGAACATATAATTTTATAGTAATAATAATCTATTTAATTATATATATATAAATTAGAGGTTGACTCAAAGCATATTAAAAAGAAAAAGAAAATATTAACCAATTAGAATTTATTCTTTTGTAGAATTTATATATATGCATGAGACTTCAAAATATTATCATTATATTCATTTATGTAATTTTGAATCAAACACTTCAGCTTATTATTTATTTTAGTTTAAGAACAATATATATATATATATATATATATATATATATATATATATATATATTAAGTTACATATAATTTAACTATAATATATTTACATATCTAAGAATATATTTACATATCTAAGACAATAACCAACCGAAATGAAAATAAGAAAATTAATCAAAGTTTTATTATATTTACAATAAAAATATTATAGCTGAATTCGAAAAATAAATATTATCCAATATACCAAATTGATAACCAAACCGACTATTGATCCAAAAAATAATTAAAACGAGAATAATATATCCAAAGTCATATGTATATTAGAATAATATAATATTTATTAATATAAATTATACATATAAATTGATACAAAACTAAAACTAAATATCAATCAATTATTATAAAATTTTGCTTTTATGAATATTTATACCCGTGCATGAGCACGGAAAAATCACCTAGTATTGTTGTAAAACTTAATATGCATAAAAGTAAAATGTAAGTGTATATGGAAATTCATGTTTAATGTACATTATAAATTAATTAATAAATATGAAAATTTTATAGATTTATTTAGTTTTATGTTGGTCAATTAAAAATATAGTATAATTTGATAATATATAATTTTAAAAATTAAATAAGTATATTATTTAATGAAAATATTAAACTAACAATTATTATAAATAATTTTATAAAATTTTCATAAATATAAACAAAATAATATGTTTAATATGTTACAATGAAATTCATTCTAACTTTGATATTTTCTCAATATTTAAGTTTTATATTATATTCTTGGATCACATCCAAAATTACGTATCTAAGATCACATCCAAAAATATAATATAATTTAATAAAATGTAATTTTTTAAAAAAAAATTTAAATAAGTATATTATTTAATT